TCCCCCCAGACGCTGAGCTGTAAAGGGGGATGCCGCGCGGGGAGGGCCCAAAAACCATCCCCCCGGCCGGGGGGAGCGCGGTGAGGGGTCGTGTTCCGGGGGCCAGCGCGCACCGGGGCTGGACGCGGGCGGGGGCTCCGGGCCGCCGGGGGCCGTGCGGCTGACTGCCCGTCGCGGGATGGGAAGCCCCGCCGCGGGCGGGCCCGAAAAGGTGTCGCCGCCCGGTGGGGCCGGGCGGTACGGAAATGTGGCCCCGTGCTCCCCGGGGGAACGGAGGGCATCCCGCCGCGCCCGGGTCGGGGGGATCGCGGGGGGGGGAGTTTTGGCAGGGGGGGACGGGGGCCCCGGGCCGGTCGCCCGCCCGGGGCGGTGAACGCAGGTTTGCGCGGCCCCCGCTGCCCCGGATGGGAGGCCCGCGGTTTCAGGCGACCGCCGGGGTAGTCTCGCGGGACGGGGGGCCCGCGAAGGCGGGTGGCGCTGGCCGCCGAGACGCCGGTCGCGGGCGTGCCGCCTACCGTCACGCTGGCATCGCTGGTGAAGTTGTTGCCGGTGACGGTGATCGTCGTGCCGCCCGCCGTGCCGCCCTCGGCCGGGGGTCACCGCGCTGACCGTAGGGAGCGCGACGATGGTGAAGCTGTTGGTTGCGGGCGACGAGGCATTACCCGCCGCGTCGGTCGCGGTGACCGAGACCGTGTTGGACCCCAGCGGCAGATCGGCCCCCGGCGCATAGCTGTACGTGCCGCCCGCCGTCGCGGAGGTCGTGCCGGCCGCCGCCCCGTTGATCCGGATCGCGAGGCTGGCATTGCTTTCCGCCGTGCCGGTGATCGCCGGCCGCCGATTGGCCAGCGTCGCGCCATTGGCGGGGGGTAGTGATGACCGGCGCGGCGGGCGCGACCGTGTCGATGGCGAAGGCATTGGTGTTCGAGGGTGCCGACGCCACCCCCAAGGCCGAGGCGACCGCATAGACGCTGTGCGATCCTTGGCCCAGCGCGCTCGCCACGGTGTAGGTGAAATTGCCGCCCGAAACGCTCCCGTTGCCGTTGAGCGTACCGTCGATGAAGACCTCGACCGTCGTGCCGCTCGCGGTGACGCCGGTCACGATCGGCGTCGCCGTATTGAGCGTCGATCCATTGGCCGGGCTGGTCAGCACGGGCGCGGCCGGGCGCGGGCGGCCCCGCCACGGTGATCGTCACCGTCGCGGCGCTGGAGGTCGCGAGACCGTTGGAGACGGTGAAGGTGAAGCTGTCCGTCCCGATATAATTGGCGGCCGGCGTATAGGTGAGGTTGGGCAAGGTACCGCTCAGCGTGCCATGTGTCGGCAGGTGCCGATAGCATAGGTCAGCGTCCGGGCCGGTGTGTTCGGGTCGCTGCCCGTCAGCGTCACGGCGGTCGCGGTGTTGAAGGTGGCGGTCACGCTGCGCGCGTTGGCGGTCGGCGCCCGGATGGCGGTCAGGGTCGCGGCGCTGCTGGTCGCGCTGCCCTGGCTGTTGGTGAAGACCGCGCGGTACTGGCGGCCATTGTCGCCCGCTGTAGTCGCCGGGTGGTATAGGTGGCGGCGGTCGCGCCGGCGATATTGGTGAAGCTGGCACCACTGTCGCTCGACACTTGCCACTGGACGCTGGGCGACGGACTGCCTGAGGCGCCGGCGGTGAAGCTGGCGGTCGCGCCGACCGCGACCGTCTGGCTCGCCGGCTGCGTGGTCACGGCGGGCGGGTTGAGCACGACATAGCTATAGCCGTTCGCCAGCGTGGCGGTGCCGCCCGGCGTGGTGACCGCGACGGACGTTGCACCGGCGCCGCCCGCAGGGGTCACCGCCGTGATCTGGGTATCGCCGGTGACGGTGAAGCTCGTCGCCGCATTGCCGCCAAAGGTCACCGCGCTCGCGCCGGTCAGCCAGTGCCGGTGATCGTCACGCTGGTGCCGCCGGCGGTCGATCCCGAACTTGGCGTCGCGCTCGTGATCGTCGGTGCCGCGATATAGCTATATTGCGAGGCCGGGCCAGTCGCGCTCGTCACGCTGCCGGTGGTGACCAGCACGTCATAGGTGCCCGCCGCCTTGGCCGGCAAGGTCGCGCTGAGTTGGGTCGCACTGACATGCTTGACGCCGGTCGCGGCGGTGCCACCGACCGAAACGGTTGCGGTGGGTGTGAAATTGGTGCCGGTGATCGTCACGGCGCGTGACGCATTGGCCAGCCCCTGAGGTCACGCTTCCAGCGCGGTCACGGTCGGCGCGGCAGGGTGTAGTTGACGCTGCCGGTACTTGTTTGGCCGGTGGTGGTGTCGGTCACGCCAACCGCCACGGTGCCGGCCCCCCGCCGGCGCGGTCGCGGTCAGCGTCGTCGCGCTGGCATAGGTCGCCGGGGACCGTCGTCGCGCCGAAGCTGGCGCTATGGCTGTTGCCGCTGACGAAGTCGGTGCCGGTGATCGTCACCGGCGTGCCGCCCTGCTCGACCCGCCGGTCGGCGAGATCGCGCTGATCGTCGGTGCGGCGACATAGCGATACTGGTTGCCCGCCCCGGTCGCCGAGGTGCCGCCCGGAGGGTGACCGTCATTGACGGTGCCTGATCCGGCGGGCGCGGTCGCGGTGATCTGCGTCGCGCTGTTGACGGTGAAGCTGGCCGCCGGACTGCCGCCGAAACTGACGGCGGTCGCGCCCGTGAAACCGGTGCCGGTCACGGTCACGCTGTTGCCGCCCGCCGCACCGCCCGAGGCGGGGGCGACCGACGTCACGCTCGGCGCGGCAATGTAAGGTATAGCTGTTGAACACCGCCGAAGCGGCTCCGTTCTTCAGCACCCGCGACACCGACGGGGCCCGCCGCATGCGCGGGCGCGGCCACGGTGATCTGCGTGTCCGATGTCGGGGTGACGGATACGAGGCTGGTGTCGAACCGTACCTGATCGACGCCGGTGAAGTTGCTGCCGTTGATGGTGATCGAGGTCCCCGGGCCGCCGGGCCGGAGGTCGGCGCGATGCTGGAGATCGCCGGGGCGGCGTACCGACGCAAGTGGCGGTCATGGTGAACGAACCGGTGTCGGCGGTCGAACCGCGCTGAATCCGCGCGAGGATCGCGTTGGTCCCTGCGTCCGTCGTCAAGGTTTGCGTTATGGTCCCGACCGAGGCGAGCAAAATGCCGGGCGCGCTTGTAGCCGATCCGGGCGTGGTGTTGGAAACCGGGAAAAACGCCCGAAAGCTGCTTCCCTGACACACTGATCGTCCGCACGGTGAACGTGATCTGCTCGTTCGCGTCGAAATCATACAGCGTCGGACTGAAACCGGCATAGGTGGCCTGATAGGTGCCGGTGGTCGCAGTATAGGATGCGGATCGGATACCCGAGGCGGTGGCAGCAATGCCGGCAGTACGGCCCGCAGGGCTAGGGCGCAGCCGTGGTCGAACTGAAGTTGGCGGAGTAATTCAGTTCGCCATTATTGATCGCCGTGCAAGCCGCGCTCTCCGCAGCCGCCGCACAGGGCATCGCCGCGATGGCAAGCGCCGACAGCGCGATCATCGGTCGCACGACCCCGCATGAGGGACGCGATGCGACATCCGCGCGCGCAGCCACGTACAGAACCCGTCGACGATGCTTGCGCCGGCACCGTATCTATAATGGTGCCCGCCTTCACGACACGGCCAAGCGCACGAACAAACGCGCCAAACATGATCTATAGCCCCCGGCTCGCCCCCAAGACATCACCGATCGGTGACGAATGCTTCACCGACGCCAGAATCAAAAATAGAGTCAATATTTTAAAGACCCTAATTCACAAATGAGACAGATCACCGTCCTTTTCCAGGGCAATATTAATATATATCACTCCCAAAATACCGTTTGAAAATTTGTTACGCATCCGATTCATAAGATAATGGTCAGAACAACAGCCCATTTTGGACAATTTATATTTGCCATATAGAACCATTATGGATTTGTTTTACGGTTTCGTCCGGTCAACAATGAGGCGGCGTGCCTCGACATGGCGAAGGGCGCGCTCTCAAGGGAGCGGACATGGAAGCATATATCGGATACGTGATGTTCACCGCAGGCAGCTATGCCCCCTACGGTTGGTCATTATGCAGGCCAAATTCTCAACGTCTCACAATATAACGCGGTCTTCGCCCTGCTCGGCGTCACTTATGGTGGCAACGGCAGCACCACGTTCAGGCTGCCTCATCTGGGCGGGCGCGTCCCCGTCGGCACCGGCCAAGCACCGGGGGTCAGCCACAATTATCAGGCGGGCGAAACGGCGGGCACCGAGCAGACCACCATCCTCACCACGCAGATGCCCGCGCACGTCCATGCGTTTCCGGCGCAGCCCGGCATAGCCGTGGTCACCGACAACACGGGTGATGACAGCTCGGCCACGGCTAGCGCCGGTGCACGTCTGGGCAACCTCATCGATCCGAACGCCACCGGTGCCGCGATCTATGTTCCGGCGGGAGTGGGCACCACGACAGTGAATCTGGCCGGCACTCCGGCGGGCACGACCGGATCGCCGGCGGAAACCAGCCCATGTCGATCATGCAGCCCTATCTGGCGATGAACGCGGTCATCTGCCTGCAGGGCATTTACCCCCGCGCGATTGACCGACCGGCCGGCACCGTTGCCCTTTGGGACACGGTGCCGGCCACCCAGCGATCAGTTGAACACCGCCTGATAGACGCGGCGGTCGCGCAGCGGCGGGCTGGCTGATGAAGATGCTGTGGCCCGCCCGCCCACAGTCGAACTCATAGGCCAGATCGAGCAGTACGACGTTCATCGGCGCCTCGAAGAATAGCGAGAAGGGTTGCCGGAAATCCAGTCCACCCGGCAATCTCGGCGTCGTCTCGACCCGGTCCAGCCGCAACTCGACCGCTTCGGGCAGGGTGTTCACCTTCACCGTCTTGCCCACCGGGCAGGAAATCTTCCGGGGTCATCAAGCGCATAAATGGTCCTCTCTCCATGACCATCATCGACGATCGGGATAATCACGGCAAGATGACCCACCGGGATATGAAACCGGATAGGATCACATTCCGTGACGAGTGCCCAGCCGACGCGGCGGTGATCCGTCGCGCCCATGCCAGCCACTGGCGCGCGCCGCCCGGTTTCGACCTTCCCGCCGCCTTGCTCGCTCCCCTGCTCGACCAGCAGCATCGCCTTCAGGAACGCCATATCGCGGCCACCATCCCGGCGCCGATCGGCGCATGATCATCACCGATGGCGTGGCGGTCGGGCGGATATGCCTGAACCGGGACGCTCGGCCTTGGCAGATCGTCGACTTCGCGCTGGTGGTCGACGCAGGGTCTCGGGATCGGGCGCGCCGTCTTGAATGCCGTGAAAGACGAAGCCGCCCGTGCCGGTGCCGCGATTCTATTGGAAGTCGCCCGCGACAATGCCCGGGCGCAAGCCTTTTACCATCGGGCAGGGTTCGGGCCCGCTGGCGAGACAGCGGCACTCATTTCCGACTGATGTGGAGTATCGGATGACAAAATACCAAAGGCGACAGGATCAGGCATCCGCCCTCCGCTTTCCGACTTCGGACACTATGGGTTAGGCCGCGCCTTACGCTGACATCGGTTATGGTGCCGAAGGTGGTGGAGAGGAAGAACGGACCAATGTCTGTCGTGATCCTCGGTGTGGATCTGGGCAAGAAGGCATGCGGCATCGCTGAGGTGAATGCGGGGGCATGATCGTTACGCGCCGCCGGACGCTGATCGATCATGTGCCGACGCTGCCGCCTCGCGTAACGATACCGGCCTAGCTCAGCCCCCCCATGCGACGCGCAGAACGGCGCGCTGCGCCAGCGGCGTTCCATGCCGTAATAAAAGGGCATGGTGACGGCAATAGGCCTGCCAGATGCGGCCCATCCGTGGCGTATCGTCCGGTCGCGGCGGCGTCTCCATCGAGAAGGGCAAGCGTGGCCTCCCAGCCTCCAGTCCCGTCGTCAGGGCGTTGAACAGGCCTTGGGATGATAGAGGGTCCGGGCGATCGCACTGTCGCCGGCGGCAAGCCAACCCTCACCTGCGCGCTGCGAGCCACGCTGTTGGCGGCGCACAGCATCGATGGCGTCGCTTGAGATGGGTCGACTTGGCCGATCACATCCTTCAACTCTGGCAACGAGCGGGCTGCCATCAACGGCCCTGTTGTCAGGACGTCACGCATGGCCGCCCCGCCCGAATCGCCATGGAACGCGACGATGCGATCCCCATCCGGCAGCATGGCGGTGTACCACCATCCCTCCGCGCACGCTTCGATATAGGTGGTGGTGTCGGAAGCCTGAGGCTGCGGCACGCGCTGATAGGCGCAGGCCAGCCGGTCCATCACCATGCGCCGCTGGCCATGTTTGCGCATCAGCGAGGTTCGCCGGCCGCTCGCATCGATCAGGCGCCGGGCAAAGACCGACATGCCGTCGTCGAGCGTGACATGCCATCCGTCCTGAGGCGACGTATGTCCCCGACACAGGCGGCGACGAACGCGGCCCCCGCGCACTTTGGCATCCGCGCGCAGATCGGCTTCGAACCGGGCGCGGTCGATCCGCCAGCCCATGCCGTCGGGATCGCGCATCGCATCCAGTTCGGCCGGATCGTCCGAGCCCCAGCGGCTGACCTTGGCGGCGCGATGCCGTGCCCCGCCGCCGCAAAGCGCTCGAACGCGCCGATCGCCGTCAGCACCCGCCGCGCCGCGCCGGGCAGCGTTTCGCCGATCCGCCGGGCCGGTACCGCCACCCGGTCGATCAGCGCGACACTGGCGAAGGGCGCCAGCGTGCAGGCGGCAGCCGCCCCGCCGCCCCGGCACCGATGATGACGACATCGACGATAGGCTCGCTCATCGCCGCTGCGGTGGCAGTCCGTTGGGAAAGCGATTGACCAGCGCGATGCCGGACAGATCGACCTCGGTCGCCGACCGCGTGCCGCGCCGCTCGACGGGGCCGGGCCTTGCCGCCGGGGCGACCCGCATCGGCGGTGCCGCCCCCCCAGAAGGCGCGGCCCGGTCAGCTTCTCCTGCTCGGGGGTGATCAGCCGGGCATAATCCTCGACCTCGATCGTCGCGGGAATTCCGGATCGCCGGGCCTTCGCGAACCTCGACGACGCCGAGAAAGTCGAAATGGTGGATCATGTTGTTGATCTGATGCGTGTAGCCGTCCGCGCCCAGCGGTTCGATCCAGAGCCTCGCGATTGGCGAACGCCTTGCGCCGTTCCTCCGGGGGCGGGACTTGTCCATGACGATGTCGTAATTCTCCTTGGTCAGCACCTCGTTGGGCACGCGCCCGGCCAGAAGGTGGGGACGTAAGTAAGGGTCATAAGCGGGGGTGTAGCCCGACCGGCAACTGCTGGTGTCGGTCTGCCACGGACCCGCCATCCACCGCGTGATGCCACCCGGCATCTGGCCACAGAGCGGCCCGTTGGGGATGGTGACGTCATCGGGGTCAGCACCTCGCTCGGTCGCGGCAACCCAGCCTTCGGGCGCATGCTGAAAGCGGAACGGCGCCATGTACATAGTCGCGGTGCGTACCGGCCATGTCATCTCGCAGCCGGGGTGGAACGCATCGGCCAGACAAATTCCAGTGCCGCGCGGGTCAGCATGTCACCCTGTTCGGCGACCGGCAGATCGTCGATCGCGGCCGGCGGACACTTTTGGGATCATGGTCGGGGTCGAAATTGCCCTCGGCCCATTGCCACAGCATCGCCATCTGGCAGTCGCTCAGCACCGCATTCTGGCGCGGGCTGGCGACCGGCAGGATGTTCATCGCGTCACCGTATAGCCAAGGCGGGGCACCGGCGAGTTGGCGTCGGTGTCAAAGTTGCGGAATTGTTGTAGATGACCCGGCGCTGCTCACGATAGGCCGGACTGGTGCTGCCCAGACGCGCCAGCGCGGTGTCGCTCGTCAGGTCGAACACCCCGTCCCAGCCGAACCCGGCGGCAAAGCCCGCATTGACCCATTGCAGCCCTCCATCCGCTGAAAGATGGGCGGGATGTCGCGCGCGAAGGATGGCCGGGTCGGGGCAGGGCAGCTTGCCTGCCTTGATCGCAACATCGCGCATCAGATCCCACATGGTGCGCACCGATTTGCGCTGCGGCCCGTAATTGGGTGGCGCGACGACGACCCGGAGCGGGGATCACTGGATCTCCTCACCGTCGAGCGTGACCCGGGCGGTCACCGGCCCATCGGAGACATCGTCATACCAGCCTTCGTTATTGGCGAAGGTGATGGCGGCGCTGCCGTCGACGCTCGCCGAGACGCCCTTGCCACCGAGCACCGTCAGCCGCTGCTCGCCATCGGTCGTCGCCTCGCCCAGATAGACGGGGATGTCCATGAACTTGCCCTCGAACGTCTTGGCCTTGACGTTGGCGCCCTTCAGCACCGCTTCTTGCCCTCGATCGCCAGCGTCGTGCGATCCGCCACGCCCGGATTGCGCAGCGTGGTCGGCGGGGCGTAATTGGCCTCGGGAATGTCGAGCGCGAGCTGGAAGCCGTACCGGGCGGCCTTGTGGTTGGCGAGTTGCACCTGCCATTCGACCGTCGCGCCCGCCTCCTTGCCGGTCAGTTCGCGCACGATCTCACCACGTGCGTTGACGCCGTAGACGCGGAAGCGCGCGGCCTGTCGCTTCAGCCTTTTATGCGCGTCGCGGTAGCTGCCGGCGGGCAGTGGCTGCGGATCGGTGACTTCGGGACCATAGAAATATTCGTCGCTGGTCCCGACCCGCGCGATGCCGATCGCCGGATGGATCACCACTGGACGATGCAATTGTCATGCTCGATGGCCGGGGCGCGGCCGCCGCGACGCGCGGGTCAGCGGGTCGCTGGTCAACTGACCATTGGCATGCTGGCGCATTGCCGCGCCCGCCGCATAGACGCCGCGCCGGACGACCGCGATCGACGACTGGTCGCTGGGCCGGTTCGCGTGCGGCACGCGCCAGATGTTGAAGGACAGATTCTGGCCATAGTCGGCCTGCCCCGGCGCATCGACTCGCTGGCGCGGGATGACCAGAGTCGCGACCGGGATATAGGGCTCTCCTCCTCGGGCCAGACGACATTGGCGGCGTCGAGCGGCATGGTCTTTTCGTTGGTACGCCGCTGCACCGACAGGGTGAAGCGATAGTCGCGCTCGCTCGCCAGCCGGTTGATCAGGTCGGTCTTCAGATAGTCGTTGCCGTCGTCGGGCACGTCCTCGGCCGGGGTTTCCGGGTCCAGCCGATATTTCACCAGCTCGTCACCAAGATGGAAGGGCAGGATCGCCCAATAGCGGTTGGTCAGGCACGATCCGCGTGCCGCGTTCATGTCGTTGAGCACCGCGTTGATCGCGGGATGCTTCGCCAGATGAGCGTCGTAATCATGCTGGACGACGCCGGCATAGGTGAAAACTCGACCATCGTCTTGGCGGTATCGAGGAAGAACCGGTCGATATTCTGCATGATGAGGTCGGCGGTCGCGCCCTCCTCGCCCAGCGCGTTCGGGCCGTCGACGCCGAACAGCTTCAACCCGATCCCGCACATGCTGCCCAGATCGGGATCGGTCGGGCCGGTATCGCTGGAAAAGCGCATCCAGCCTCCAGCCGCTCATGCGCGAAGAGGCCGACACGCCACGCCTCGGGCATGTCGGCATGACGCTCCAGCCAGCCATGCGCGACGCCGTGCAGCTTGCGAAAGACCGCGCGCTGGGCGGGGGGCGGGTTCAGCTTGGTATCGCGTGCCTGTCCGATATCGACGAACATTTCGGTCAGCCGTTCGGTGGCCTGATCCGGCTTGTCGAAACATTTCGGAGTAGGAAGTTCTTTTCCATATCTGATTCCCCCACCATGCCGTTTTGCCGGATAGACTGGCCGCGAATGATGTCGCCGGCAAGATGGGTCGAGACAGAATTTTTGTTATGCTAACGTTTTACATCCAAACTGGATGATAAGTTTACTAACATATAATAGATAAGCAATATTATGCATATAGATCCGGAAGCGGACGCGATCGATTATTGCACTGATGTTGCGCAGTGTCATCGCTGATCCTAAAAAAATACGAATGATTATCAGTCATCCACCTTGGGGAGATTTGCGATGAGCCATGCGGAAGAGAATTTTCTGAGCGTGCCCCGCTCATCTGCTGCTGACCCCGAAGATCAGGACGGAAATTCGAGAGTTTCATCCGCCTGCCCGTGCTGGGCGAGGGACGGTCGGCTTCATGATCGCTGAGAAGGCGCCGTTCAGCGTCAGCATCCAGAACAAATGCTGGGGGCGGCCCGCGCTGCGTTGGGATGTCGATTTCAACGGGGTCACGCTGCACGAGCGGATCGACGGCGAATGGCATCAGCGGCCGGTCACGCCGCAGGTCGAGCTGGAACCTGACCTGACCCTAGGCCTCGATCCCGATCCGTGCTGCCCCTATTGGTTCAGCTTCGATCATAACAATCGTCGGCTGCGCTACGGCAAGGGCGAGATGCGGCTGGGTTGCATGATCGCGGAATATCAGCTGGCGGGCAAAACCGTCCGACGACGACGAAGACCCCTATGCACGGCTGCGCGAGGCGCGCCAGGTCGAGGTGACGGCGTCGATCCGCGATTCGGTCGACATCTGGCGCGATCCGGTGGTCGCCGATGTGCCGATGAAGGTCGTCGTTCATGACCGCATGACGATGGACATGATGGCGCAGGGCGAGGCCACCGTGCCGGGCAATCTGACGCCGACCTGCCGCCAGCTCTACGACAATGTCGCCGGCGAGATGTTCCGGCTCGACACGCCCGACTTCCCAGAATTCGCGCAAGCGATCAAGGAAAGCATCGCCGATCCGCAAGGCTGGTGCCATGAAACGCTGGCGCGAAAGGCGGAGGAGTTCGGCACGCCCGATCCCGACAAGACCTATCTGCGCATCACGCTCGGGCAGAATCAGGGCGATTCACCCAGCGTGCCCTTCGTCATGGGAAATCTGGCCGGTCGGCCATTACTCACCATCCACAATCATGGCGGCGCGGGAGGCGGTGATCAAGGGTGCTGCACGGCGAGATCAATGTCGATCTCTACCGCATGCTGTCACCCTATCATCAGGCCCCCCTTCGCGACCGCCGTCTTCGAGAAGGACGATGTCGCGTGGATCTCGTCACGCCTCAATCAGGTCCACAAACTGATCAATCGCGGGGCGCAAGAGCCGTGCATCACGATCCAGTGCTATCTCTATGCCGAGACCAATGAGGTGCACTGGCCCTATTTCGATTATCTGGCCAAGGCGAAGATCGCCAATTTCGATCCCAATTCCGACGACGACTATGTGTCTTTCAAGGGCGAATGCAGTCCGAATGGCATCGGCGTCACCCAAATAAGGCGTATCGTGATTCCATCGCACTTCATTAGGTGGTGATCGCGATCCGAAGGCCAGGCGCGGCCATTCCTCGATCTCCCCGTTCTGATGCAATCGGCGTCTTGCTGTGACGGCAGCCATCGGATCGTGATGCCGCCCTCGACCGAACCGATAAAACCGGCTGCGGGTGGCCATCATTTTGGATGGTTTACAATGGCAATAGGCGTGCAGCTCAATGCGGCGCTTCTCGTTGGGGAAAACAGGAAAGCCGCCCGACAGCTTTCCTATGGGCCTGTCGGATAGCGGCATGCGGCAGAAGACATGGCCGCTGCCGAACGCTATGGGCGCAGCATGGCCCGGCTGCTGTTGTTCAACAAACCCTTCGGGGTCTTATCGCAATTCACGGACCGCGGATCGCCAACGGTTCGGTCGACATTGTCGGATTTCATTGCGGTGAAGGCGTCTATCCCGCCGGGAGGCTCGATCCAGGACAGCGAGGGCCTGCTGCTGTTATGCGATGATGGGCGGCTGCAGGCTGGAATTGCCGATCCACGCTTCAAGATGCCCAAGACCTATCTCGTGCAGGTTGAAGGCGATCCGCAGGAGCCGGAACTGGAGCGCTTGCGGCAGGGCGTCCAGCTCAAGGATGGCATGACCCTGCCTGCCGATGTCGCTCGTATCGACGAGCCCCGGACCTGTGGCTGCGCGATCCGCCGATCCGCCAGCGTAAGGCCATCCCCCGACAACTGGCTGAAACTCACCATCCGCGAAGGGCGCAACCGGCAAGTGCGTCGCATGACGGCGGCGGTCGGGTTGCCCACCCTGAGGCTCGTCCGCTGGTCGATCGGCGACTGGTCCGTCGCCGGGATCGCGCGCCAGGCCGGTTCGAGCAGCTCTCTGTATAGCACGGGCGAGGGTGGCAGCCGCTCCTATGACTGATGACGCAGTCTGGCGGGTGAATGTCGACTGCTGACGGGATTGCGGATCACGGCTGTCTCCGCTGTTGGTTGCCGCCGACCGCAAAAAGCTGATTTGGGGCTTCGCTCACTGGGGCTTTGACGCCTTACGTCCGGGTCATACGAAGTCAAATCGGCAGGGGTTTTGGATTGCCATGAATTATCGCCACTCCTTCCATGCCGGCAACAGTGCCGATGTCGTGAAGCATAGCCTGCTGATCGCGCTTGTCCGCGCCTTGCAGCAGAAGCCGGGCGCGCTGACCCTGATCGACACCCATGCCGGCTGCGGGCTCTACGACCTTGGCGGCGAGCAGGCTCAACGCACCGGTGAAGCCGCCCCAGGCGTGCTGCGGGCCTTTGCCGACCCGAACCCCTTGCTGGACGACTATCGCGCCGCCGTACGGGCGGTGAATGTCGGGACGGAGCCGCACCTCTACCCCGGCTCGCCACAGTTCACGGCGCAGCTCCTGCGCCCGCAGGACCTGCTGATCCTCAACGAAAAAGCATCCGAGACGCCCGTGTTCTGCGCGGTGCGATGCGCGGTACGCCTGCTGCCGTGCGCCCAGCGCGATGCCTATGAGCTGTGGCCCGGCGATGCTTCCGACCCGTACGCCGCGCGGCGCGGTGGTCGTCGACCCGCCATACGAGCAGACCGACGAGCGCGCCCGCATCACCACCACCCTCGCCGCGGCCCACCGCAAATGGGCGCATGGCGTGACGGTCATCTGGTATCCGCTCAAAGACCGCGCGACGCATCAACGGTGGAAGAACGATTTGCAGCTCGGCATCCCCAAATTCCTGTCGGTGGAGCATTGGCTGTATGATGCCGATCAGCCCGGCATCTATAACGGTGCGGGCCTTTTTCATCGTCAATCCGCCCTATGCCTTCACGCAGGCGCTCCGCCGCTGCTGGAAGCCCTCCGCGCCGCCCACGCGCCGGAAGGGCATAGGGGTGAATCACTGCTGATTGGCTGGACGGTTAAAGTCAGGATCTGTAATTTGCATCCGCTTGGCGGTTGGCCCTTGAGGTCTCGAGGATCTGTCCGCCCTTGTGGGCCTGAGGGTCGTATCGGTTCACATAAGACCGGACATGGCGTGGCCTCGAAGCGGGCTTGGCAGTCCATCCGATCAGCTCCGCAGATCGTCCGTAGCCGCGTTCCCCCGGCGGGCGGCGGGCGAACGCGACCCGGGCTTTCTCGAAGCCGCGCCGCTTCGCGATCTTGAGCGCACAGGGTCTTTAGCGCAAAGGCCTGCCGCGTGCGGATCAGGATCGAGTTCGTAGCCTCGTCGAGGAGCTTGCGGACGGTACCGCCGCCCTGTTTGGTGATCCGCCCCGTCCGTCAAGCTCACCCGACTGGTGCGGACGCGGGGCGAGAGCGAAATAGGCCTCCGCCGTTCGCGATCGCTTGAACCTGCCCGCCTCATCCACGGCAGCGGTGAATGCCGCCAAGGTCTGCACAGCGACGCAGAATGGAACTGTGCGCCGTATCGAACCTCGCCACGTCGTCGCCCGGTCATGCTGGCGGCGTACACATCAGGCCGCCGCGCAATGCCCCACAGCAAATCAAAACACAACTGTAATCCTGGGGTCAGGACCATAAAAAAGCCGACTGCGATGCCAGCCCGGGAACGGGCCCGTCAGGGTAGCCGTTTCTCGTTGCCGCCCAACGGGATACGACCTTGATGCGCACGCTGACTGCTGCCGAGATTGCCACGCTGGCACCCGATACGGGCACGCCGCATCCCGTGCTGGGCGTGATCGAGACCGCCGCGGCGCTCGCCGAACGGCTGGCGAAGAACGACATATTGGCGGTCGAGGCGGATGAGACGCGCGCCGCCGCCGTGGCGCGGACCCTCGCCGCGCTGATACCGACGGCAAGCGTCTGGATGTGTCCCGGCACCGACGCGCTGCCGGGGGACGAGGCCCCGCCTCTCCCGCCAATGTCGGCCAGCGCGTGTCGGCACTGCGCGGCGTGCGGCGCATGCTGGGCGAGGCGAAGCGCCCGCGCATCGCACTGGTCACCACGGGAGAGGCACTCGCGCGCGCCTATCCGCCCCTGCCGCTTTCGACGCCGAGCCACCGCAGGTCGCGATCGGCACGCCGTGCGACCTGCCGGCCCTGTTCGAGACGCTGACCGGGCTTGGCTACATCCCCGACGAGCGCGTCGACGAGCCGGGGAACTGGCGCTCCGCGGCCGCGTGCTCGACGTGTTTCCCACCGATGCCGACCAGCCGCTGCGCATCGAGGTCGAGGACGACAGAGTCGTGTCGATCCGCCACTACGATCCCGCCGACCAGCGCACCACCGCCGAGATCGAGCGGCGCGAATTGGGTCGGTGGCCGAACCGCCGCTGGGCGAGGATCGCTGTGCGCTGATCGATCATCTGCCCGACGCGACGATCGTCTTGCCCCCCGCGGCGGACGACCGGCGCCGGCGCCTATTGCTGCTGAGCGGTGATGCCGCGCGGCGCGGTGCCCGCCGGGCGGCCCGCGAGGTGATCGACGAGACGGCGTGGAGCGCGCTGATCGCGGCGCGACGGGTCGTGACGATCGACCGCGCCGGCGATCCGCCGCCCCGCTTCGTCGAGCAAGCGGCACCGATGCGCGGCCTCGCCAAGCTGGGCAAGGCGGCGATCGAGGCGGGCGAGCGCGTGGTCCTGATCGGCAGCGAGCGCGACCTACGCTTCCTCACCCGCCGGGTCGAAAGGCGCTGGCGACCGAAGCGACCCCGGCCGCCGACTGGTCGGTGGTGCGCAAGCGATCGGCGGGGCCGCTGCTGACGCTCGCCGCGCCCGCCGATCGCGGCTTTCGGACGAAGCGCCTGCTCGCCATCGCCGCTGCGGACCTGATCGGCAGCCGTGCCGACCGATCCGACGGCGTCGTGGCGCATGTCGAGCCCGCGCTGCTGCAATCCGCCGAGATTCGCGTCGGCGACACCGTAATCCATGAGGATCATGGTATCGGCACCGTCGCGGGGCTGGAACGGCTGGCGCGGGACGATACGACCGCGGGCGGCGACGCGATCAAGCTGACCTATGCGCGCGACGCGGTGCGGCTGGTGCCCGTAGCTGACGCCGACCGCCTGTGGCGCTATGGCGCGGAGGACGATGCGGTCACGCTCGACACGCTGGACGGCAAGAGCTGGCAGGAGCGGCGTGCCGGCATCGATGCCGCCATCGCCGAAACCGCGCGCGGGCTGACCGAGCTTGCCCAAGCGCGTGGCGACCGCACCGCGCCGGTGCTTGACCCCGAACCCGCCGCCTATGAGCGCTTCGCGGCGGGCTTTCCCTTCTCGGAAACGCCCGACCAGCGCGCCGCGATCGAGGCGGTGCGCAGCGACCCGGCCTCCGGACGGCCGATGGACCGGCTGGTGATCGGCGATGTCGGCTATGGCAAGACCGAGGTCGCGCTGCGGGCCGCCGCCATCGCCGCGCTGTCGGGCAAGCAGGTGGCGATCGCCGCGCCGACGACGGTGCTCGCCCGCCAGCATCTCGACAGCTTCACCCAGCGCTTCGCTGACACGGGGATCGCGGTCGCTGGCCTGTCGCGCTTGTCGACCGCTGCCGAGGCGCGCCGGGTCAAGGCAGGACTGAAGGACGGCAGCATCCGTCGTCATCGGCACCGGCGCGGTCGCGGGCAAGGGCGTCGCCTACGCCGACCGGGCGCTGGTCATCGTCGACGAGGCAGCAGCGTTTCAGCGCGGCGGACAAGGCGAAGTTACAGGCACTTTCGGCGGGCCATGTGCTCAGCCTGTCGGCGACGCCGATCCCGCGCACCTGCAGGCGGCGCTGGTCGGGCTGCGTCAGTTGTCGGTGATCGCGACGCCCCGGCCCGCCGCCAGCCGATCCGTACCGCCGTGTCCGCCTTCGCGCCCGAGATGCTGCGCGCGGCGTTGCTGCGCGAACGCTCACGCGGCGGGCAGAGCTTCGTCGTGGTGCCCCGCATTGCCGACATGGCACCCCTCGCCGCGCAGCTGGCTGAGCTGGTCCCCGAACTGGAATTGTTGCAGGCGCATGGCAAGATGCCGGCGGCCGAGATCGACGAGGCGATGGTGCGCTTCGGTCGCGGCGACGGCGACGTGCTGCTCGCGACCAACATCATCGAGGCAGGACTGGACGTGCCGCGCGCCAACACCATGGCGATCGTCCATGCCGATCGCTTCGGCCTCGCCCAATTGCACCAGTTGCGTGGGCGGGTCGGGCGCGGGCATCGCCGGGGCGCAGTGCTGTTGTTCACCAGGGGCGAGGACGCCATCGCGCCGGGACGCTCAAGCGATTGCGCACGCTGGAGGCATTCGACCGGCTCGGCGCGGGCTTTGCGATCAGCGGCCGCGATCTCGACATGCGCAGCGCGGGCGACCTGCTGGGACAGACGCAGGCGGGGCATATGCGGCTGATCGGTGTGGAACTGTATCAGCAACTGCTCGAAGGCGCTGCGCACCGCACGGGGCGAGACGGTGGAGCGCTGGACGCCCGGAGCTGTACCTCGGCATCGATGGCTGGCTGCCCGCCGACTGGATCGGGACGAGGATGTGCGGCTGTCGCTTTATGCGCGGCTCGCCCGGCTGCGCGATATCGACGATATCGATGGCTTCGAGGAGGAGTTACGCGACCGGTTCGGCGCGTTGCCGCGCGCAGCGGGCGGCTGATGACGATCACGGGTGCGCGAACTGGCGCGCGGCCACGGTATCGCGCGGATCGACGCCGGCCCCGCCGCGATCGCCCTGACGCCGCGGCCGGACAGCGCGGCGGGTGAGGCGATGAGGGGCTGACCGAAAGAACGGGCGGCTGATCCTGAGCGAACGGATCGAGGATGCGAGCGAGCGGTTGGCGCGTCTGGCAGCGCTGTTGGAGCATTAAGGCGGACGGCGTCCTGCGCCGGAACGATCGCCGGAACGATCACAGGGAAGTCCTGCCGCGGGTCGGCTATATCCTGACGCAGCTTGGACAGAGCTTCGCCCGGGCGCTCGAGCCGCTATGCCAGTGGGGCACCGAGAACATGGCGGAAATGCAGAAGCTCTTCGCCGGTCGAGATGGCTGGGGACGCGGGCGTGGTTGACTGCCAAACTGCTGGTTCTGAATTTATGTATGTCTTGCGGACCGTCGCTGGGTAATCCAACCCATTTCAGCCATTCAGGTGGACAAAAGCGTCAGCCGAAACCGGCCTTTTCATTCACGTCGCTAGGCGGATCGCTCTGACGGTGTCTAAACGGCGCTCGGGTGACCGAGATCGGAAACCTTCCCGGCATGCTACTATCAACAGTTCCGCAAGCGTTGCGGTTCCTCGTTAAACGGCCAGTTGTCCCAAAAACGAAGGTTGAACGAGATAGTTCGGACAACATTCATCGTCTCAAAGTGGCTGTAGAGCCTGAATAGATCGCATTACACGGGCGACAGCGCGATGAACTTTGTCAGTCTGACTTTACCGGCAGGAGAATGCGGAACAGCGATTGCTTGGCGACCCTTTGATAATGGCATCGCCACCATGCGCTCGGGCGATGGCGAACGACGGAAAGGCCGGTCCCGATCGCCGGGATTTCCTGTACCGCGTACGAACTGGCGAAAAAGCGCTTTTCTCAAACTCGGTGGCAACCCGGCCTTGTCTGCCACGGTGATGACCGCCTCATTTTTCGTGAATTCGACTGCGATCCCCAAGGTACAAGGCGACGCATGGCGACGGGCATTATCAACGAGTGCGATCACCGCCTGTCGGATGCGTGCCGCATCGGCCCGCACGGCCCCGGTCTCCAACGTCATCTCCAGTTCGAAACCCGCTGGCGACAGCATGGATGACAGGATCGGCCGCATGTCGTCCATCTCGGCAGCAAGATCGACATTCGCCATCTCCAGCTCCAGTCGCCCGCTCTCGGCGGGCTGACGCTGCGCAAATCCTCGACCAACCGGGTCAGACCCTCGACCTGTTTCACCGGGCCGACGACCAGTTCGTCGTCGAGCGGAAAAGACGCCGTCCTTGGCGCCCCGGAGCCGCCCCGCAGGATGGTCAGGGGTCCGCAGCTCATGGGCGATCTGCGCGTTCCAAAGCTTCACATCGTCCGACATACGTTGCAGGCGGTCGGCCATCGCGTTGAAATCAGCGATCAAAACAGCCGCCTCGCCATGCGCGCCGCGTACCGGCGCGATACGTAATCGTCAGATCGCCCTCGGCGATTTGACGGGCGCCACTCCCACCGCTCCAAGCGGATGTACGATCCACCGTGCCAGCCGCACCGCGACCGCCAGCGCCAGCGCCAGCGCCACCCCGATCACGCACGCCGCCAATGTGATGCCAACATCAACCCGCGGTCGTATCCGCCACACCCGGCGGCAACAGGGCGACAAGGCGCAGGCGCTCCAGCACAGCATAGACGATATAGAAGGCCGCTGTGCTGACCACGACCGCCACGAAGGCGAGCGCCGCCATCGCGACCGACAATTGCCGGGTCAGACTGATCCGGTTCTTCATCCACGCGACCATAGCCGGTATCCGACGCCGCGCACCCCTCGGGCATGTCCGGAACCCCTGCCTGTTCGAGCTTGCGGCGCAGTTTTGCTCACATGGCTGTCGACTGTTCGGTCGAGTGCATCCGATCCCGGCAGACAGGCGTCAGAGCAGCTCGCTGCGGCTGAACACCCAGCTCGGTGTACGCGCCATATGAGCGAGCAGGCGGAATTCGGTCAGGGTCAGCGCCACCTCGCCGCGTTCCGTACGGACCATATGCGCGGTCGTGTCGATCTCGACCGGGCCAACCCGCAGCACGCGTTCGCGCCCTCGCCGCCCGTCCGGCGCAGCACCGCCGCCACTCGCGCGACCACCTCGACCGGGTTGAACGGCTTGACGACATAATCGTCGGCCCCGATGCGCAGCGCACAGGCTTGTCGATGTCTTGGTCCAGCGCGGTGGTGACGACCACCGGCGTATGGCCCCGCGCCACACTTCGGACAATACCCCCAGCCGTCGATCAGCGGCATCGAGATGTCGAGCAGCAGGATATCCGGCTTCAGCGCAAGATGCAGGTCGAGCGCGGTACGGCCGTCGCCGGCATGGACGGTCCGGAACCCCTCGCGTTCCAGATAGGCGCGGATGATCTCGGCGATGTCGCGGTCGTCCTCGGCGATCAGCGCGAGCGGGTTTCATACGGCGGATCCACTGGGCATGACGCCGTTCCTATCAGCGTGACCCGGCACGCCGCCAGCCAGCTCCACACAGTCTCCACACAATATCGACACATGCGCAACGGCCCGCGCGGATGGGCGACGGCATGATGAGTCGATCTCGTGAACCGCACACTGCCAGCCCTGCCGATTATTCTGATGATGGCGGCCTCGCTCAGCAGTTGTTCCGCCGAAGCGCCCGCCGCCCCGGCGGATCCGGTGACGGTGCTCACCATGCGTGTCGCACCGACCGAGGTCACCGCTGCCGACGAACTGCCGGGGCGTGTCGTGGCGTTCCGAACCGCCGAGATTCGCCCCGGTGGGCGGCATCGTCCAGCGCCGATTGTTCGAACAGGGCGCGGCGGTGCGCGCCGGGCAGATGCTGTTCCAGATCAGCCCCGCCCCTTCCGCGCCGATGCTGACACCGCGCAGGCAACCGTGCAAAGGCCGGCGCCGCCTATGCCCCGCGCCCGCGCACAGGCCGACCGGCTGAAGCCGCTGGTCGCCGCCGATGCGATCAGCCGTCAAAGCTATGACGACGCGGTCGCCGCACGCGAGCAGGCTGCCGCCGAACTGGCCGAAAGCGCGCGCCAACTGCAGCGCCGCCGGATCGACTGGGCTTCTCGCGTGTGACCGCACCGATCACCAGGCGGATCGGACCGGCGAATGTGACCGAGGGGCGTTGGTGACGGCGGCCGACGCCACGCCGCTGGCGACGATCCAGCAGATCGACCGGGTCTATGTCGATGTCCGCCAGCCCGCCGAACGCTATGCCGAATTGCGCGCGCAGGGGTGCGGCAGCAGGGGCCGGTCGAGATTTTCAGCGCCTCGGGCGGAGCCATCCGGTGCAGGGACATATCCTGTTTTCGGGGGATCGCGGTCGATCCGGGCTGGGCGATGCGCTGGTGCGGGTCGAGGTGCCCAATCCCGGCGAACGGCTGCTGCCGGCATGTTCGTCCGCGCCCGTCTGCCCCGTGCGAGGATGCCCGCTGCGCTGACCGTACCGCAACAGGCCGTGACCCGCGCGGGCGACAGCTCACCCCAGTCAGCGTGGTCGGCAGGCACCCGGTGCATATCCGCCGCGTCACGCTCGGTCCGCTCGTCGGTGGCCGCTATGTCATCCAGTCAGGACTGCGCGCTGGCGAAACCGTGATCGTCGAAGGGCAGGACCGCGTTCAGTCCGGCACGCCGGTCAACCAGCGCCTGGCATGGCGGCGCGGCAGGCTGAACCGCGCGCAATTCTTCATCAACCGCCCCATCTTCGCACGGGTGATCGCCATCGCGATCGTCCTGATGGGCATCATCGCGATCCCGCAAATGCCGGTCGCGCGCTTCCCCAGTCGTCGCGCCGCCTACCGTCAGCATCTACGCCAGCTATCCCGGTGCCACGCCGCAGACGCTGAACGACAGCGTCGTCTCGCTGGTGCAGCGCGAACTGTCGAGCGTGAAGAACCTGCTCTATTTC